TGTCTTGAAAAAAAACAAAAATAAAATTTAAAAAAAAAGAAAGACAGAAAGAGAAAAGGAAGAAATACTATTCATGGATTATTCAAACTAGAACTAAGTAATATCATAACTTGAGGTATTCCATTACATAACATAAATCTTAATGTTTACAATAGGAATTTATTTAAAATGATAAACATTTATTTCAAGTTCTAATAAGCTAATAGCTACTAAAGTAAGATGTTACAAAATTCTAGTAGGCTTTTTAATTTTTCAACATTTTTCCATTGCATTTATTTATGTGAGTGTGCACATGTAAAGGTCAGAGTATAACTTGAGGGATTCAGCTCTCTATTCTACCATGTAGGTCTTGGGGATTGAGTTTAGGTTGTCAGCTCAGCAGCAAGCACCGTTACCCACCAAACTATCTCGCTGGCTGAATTTCTATTATTCTTGACGTTTAATACTTCTATAATCTTGATGTTTCCAAATCACCTGTATTTTTCAATTCTATCCCACTTACATGTCTAGCTTCATTTATGGTCTGACCATTCTATTCTGAAATGTGTCTTGTTTTGGTATACATTTGTCAAAAAACAAATCATAGCTGGGCATGGTAGTTCATATGTGTAATTCTAAAATTACAGGAGGACTCCCATGTGTTTGAGACCAGTCTAGGTAGATAAGTTCCAGAGTGGTCTAGGCTATAGAGTAAGAACACATCTTTTTAAAAAAAGGAAGAAAGCAAGAATGGAGGAAGGGAGAGAAGAGGGAGAAGGGAGAAGGGAGGGAAGGAGGGAAGAAGAAAGGGAGAGAGAAAGGGAGAGAGGCGGGAGAGAGGAGTGTGTTCTTCATTGCTCCTCTAGTTTTCCCTTACTTTAAAAATCTAAGATCTAAACAACTGGTCTAGGAGTAGCAACTCCTACTAGAGTTAAAACATTTTAGTAATCTTTGAGCCACTGAACAATACACACAACCTCCACAATTTAACAGACATCGACAAATTTCTAGAACAACTCATAATCACTTTGCTTTGGTCAAGCAATTCAGAGAATTATTCTGATAATTTTCCATTCGAAGTCTCCAGGAACAGCTTTCAGTTTCCAAAGTGGAGCTACCATCATGCCCTTATCCTAGCTCCTCTCCTTCTCATCCTATATCTAATCCTTCGCAGAGATGTCTCTGAAGTTTATTTCCTTCTTTAAACACCTTTCTATGCTTACCTCAGTCTACCAGACCTCTGCAATGCGCATCTCATTTCTTGAAACAGCTCTCTTCTTGGTCTCCTTGGCTCCCAGTTCTCTTCTCTTATTACTCATCCTCTTCAACATGCCTCATTATGTGTTTACTTCTTTAACCACCTTCTTATAATTTGCTTTTATTTTTTCTCAGATAGAGTCTTGTTACATAGCTCAAGCCATACTTGAATTTATGGTAATCCCTTGCTTTCCAAGTGCTAGGATTATAGAAGGGCATCACTATGCTTTATCCATGTCATCATTTTCTTTTCTCTCTCTCTCTCTCTCTCTCTCTCTCTCTCTCTCTCTCTCTTTTTTTTTAAAATTTTGTTTTTTGAGACAGGGTTTCTTTATGTTGCAGGCTTGGCTGTCCTGGAGCTTGCTTTGTAGACCAGGCTGGCCTCAAACTCTCAGACATCCACCTGCCTCTTCCTCCTGAATGCCAGGATTAAAGACATGCGCCATCACTGCCCAGCCATAATTTTCAATCTATACCTCCTCCTGTTTAAGTATTCATTCACTCATTTATTTAAACATATTGAAGCTCAACAAAATAGCATGTCGGGGTGTTTATAGCACTATGACAATGGTAACACACATAAAACTATATAGTAAGTTGGAAATGTATTGGGTCATTGAGGCATCAAATAATTAAATAAATAAATAGATGCTAGCAGTGGTTAAGAATCTTAATAGCTAGATGTCAAATGGAACCAGAGTTCATAAAGAAGTAAAATATAAGATCCAGGGGGGGGGGAGATCCAAGGGAAAGGATGCTGATGTTCCTAACCTGTGGAACTAGATTAGTAGTACCATTAACAAGCCCAGGGACATCAGAAGGAAAAAGGCATAGAGGGAGCTTGACTAAAGGATGTACTTGGCAAACTCCAGATCAGAGCAAATGATCAAATAAGGGATTTCAACACCAAAATATTAGAATCTCTAGGAATGGTGGTTTGAGAGGACAATGCTATTGAATGTCAAACTGAACTACATCAGAACACACACACACCTACCTAGCTTACACACCTTCAGCAGGTATATAAAAAAATGTGGAAATGGCAAATATGAAATCTACTGCCCTACAAAGCTGTTTTCCTCTGGGAAAGTTCTAATGGCTTTGGAGTTTCCATCTGATTTTTTTTTCGTTCTTACAATACTTAGCATCTTCATATATCACAGGGACTTTTACTCAAACAGCTTCAGGTATCTTTGTCCATTCTATAGCATCCATGTGCTATCAATGGTATATATGGCTGATTAATGTGCAATTAATTAAATTGCTGCAGGTGATCCTTCTGGGTCTTATTGATAAACTTGGTTCCAAAATGCTGAAACTCTAAAGTTATTAAAAGCATCATTAGATGAGGTTACCACATAGACATTCACTGTCAAGTCAAAACTAACAACTCTCTTAAGAGCAGTAACATAACAGCTGCCTGGTAGACCTAAAATCCACACAACCCGGTGAATATACTGAACCAGATATTTTATATTGGTGAATTGTAAATATAGAGAACTCAATAATGCTGTAATTTTAAAAATTCACAGCTCCTTAGCAACTCCCTCTGGAAAAGAATCAACAAATATATTTTAACCAAAATGTCAGTCTCAAGAAACATTATATCCAGGCACTAAGTTATTGCTCTTAAATATTTAAACTTATGGAAATTTTATGAAATGGAAACCCTGCTAAATTGTGATGACAAACCTTTATCATTCTAACTTAAGAAAATAAATGGTACAGTCACATGCCCTTCACTGTAATAGGAGCTGATCTGTTTCACACATCAAAATCTGCCTTAAAGGTCTGATGACAACTTTTAAAAAGGCACTTTTCAGATTTAATCATAATGCTGAATATCATAATTATGGCATGTCAGTAACATGTTTTTTCCTTGTAATCTATCCACAACTTCCTTCTCTATAATCCTCTGCAAGGAAAAGATATTTGTGTTTTCCACTGGCATTTCTTCTAATGGCTTCCTTCTTTCTCCTAAGACTTACTACTCAGTTCTCTAGAATCACTCCAACCTTTGCCATATCCCAGAACATTTGTTATCTCCTACTAACACATCTGTCTGCTGTTGTTAAGGTAACAGCTGGTTATTTATGCCCTTGGAGAGTCAAAGTGAGTCAACGGATACATGAAGCAGACTGTGAGCCCTATGAGGGAAAGGGCTATGACTTGTCCATTGTTAGAAACTCTAAACATCAGGCAGAGTATTTGGTATACAGGATATTCAATAAATATCCCTGCCTATCATTAAACTAAGATCTACTCAGAGAATCAGTGCACAAATAACTATGGAACCAGAGTATTCTTGGGTATCTGTGACTTTAGGAGAAAGCCCCTTAAATCCTATCCTCAGTTTCAGTGACTAAATGAGTCTGTATCTAGGAAGACTAAAAGATGAATTATATTACCCATAAAGCTGTGATGGAAACTCAAGACCTTACCATTTAAAAATGGCAACACCTTTCCCATTTTTTCCTACAAATTATCTTTTGGACACAAAAGCAGATCTAGAAGTCGAACAACTTACCACCCAATATCTATTTATCAGCTTGCAATTAGCACATTCAAGATGGGACTGATGGATGGGGGGGGGTTGTAAGGGCTGAGACAGACAAAACAATGTAACTACTCAATGTTTACAGACTGACAGCTCTTCAGGGAACAATAACTGATACTTGTCTCTACCTCATAATTAATTGTAAGGATTAAATGAGTTAATATTTGCAAAACACAATTGCACTATGTAAGTTAATAAAGTAACTTCCAATCAGTTTCCAATAATAGCCACTCATATCTTAGAGACCTATAATGCCTAAATAAATTACTAGGCTTAGAAAAATAATCTAATTATACACAGGGCTAGAAAGAAAGAAGTTCCAGGTTCTTTTTATGGCTGTAAGAAATTAATCAGATAACTCCTATTTTGTAGAAAAAGGTTACAGGTCACAGAAAGCTTTCACAAATAGTATTAAATTTGGTCCTCAAAATCCAGCGGCAGTGGTGAACTCCTTTAACCCCAGCTCTCATGAGGCAGAGGCAAGCGGATCTCTGAGGCCAGCCTGGTCTACAGAGCAAGTTCCAGGACAGCCAGGGTTACACAGAGAAACGCTGTCTCAAAAAATCAAAACATAGATCCTCACAACAGCTTGTAAGGAATGCAGGACAAGTACAATTAACTCTATTTACATGTAAGAAACCTGAACCAGAGAGGTTGCAAAAGGTCACACAGTTGGTGAAAAGGTCTAGACCAGAAGCAGGTATCTGGATGCCCCATCCAGACTTCTTGGGCTCCCGGCTTACTGGAGTCATGTGTGCAAACAATGATTTCAAAATGCTAAGGAAGAGTACAGAGAGCTGGGGCTATCTATATATAGGTAAAAGGTTTGCCTAGTATGCTTGAGGCCCTACATTCAATCTCCAGTACCAGACAGGAAGACAAAGGCAAAAACAGAGAGACAAGAAGGGAAAGATTTTGGCAAATTTTTGGAAACGTGAACTTAAAAAGTTAAGGCAATTCAATTGAGTGGAGATGATTAATAATCAATAGCTAGCAAAAAACCAAACCAAAACAAAAACCTACTGAAACCATAATATACCACGATTGCATACACCACACATTTGCCAACACAGATTTTTCTGAAGTCCTCTCTCCAAAATACGCCATTCAGAGAGAGATCATCAGACTCAGAATATGGGCGTCGGTTTAAGACTGAAAAGACTGCCACTTCCCCTAAATTAAGACCAAAAGGGAAAGAAAGGCTCGCCCGGAAAGGAGGGTGAGGAAGCGAAGCTAATGAGGCTCTCGGGGATAACGCGCAGGTAGCAAACTCCCAGCCACCGTCGAGCCTGAGAATAAGCTCGCCATCGCCCGGCGGCAGCATCTTCCCAAAGGCTCCGCACCCCAGGGCCACGGCAAGAACCCTGCAGCTAAAGGTGAAATCAGAGAAGCCACAAATCCGAAATCATCTCCGCGAGAGGCTGCCTGGCGCATACCGGCACAGGACGTTATTTTAAGCGCGCGTCCCCGGAGAGCGGTCCGAGCATCTGCCCAAGAGCATCCCACCCGAAATGGGCCCAGGAGGCAGAGCAGGGAGATGCAGCCAGGGAGGGAG